CTAACAATTTAAGGTATCTTGATTGGTTAGGATACCCTATGAAATGCATGCCTTCAACATTTCAACCAGAGCATCTTGTTGAACTTCACTTAACCTATAGCAGAATTGAACAACTTTGGAAGGGAACAATGGTATGAATATGCATTCTCTTTATTTACTTTGAATAAGATGCAAAATCCTTGACATAATATAATTTCGGTAATTTATTTCTATATAATTTCTATAATTTATTTATAATTTTATTTGTCTTCAATAGCATCTAGGCAAGTTAAGGATCATGAATCTTAGTCACTCGACATACCTAACCAAGAGCCCATACTTTGCCGGCGTCCCAAATCTTGAAAGACTGATTCTTGAAGGCTGTACAGGTTTGGTTAATCTTCATCCATCCATTGGAGTTCTCAGAAGGCTTATTTGTTTGAACTTGAAGGATTGCAAAAGTCTCAAGAGTCTTCCCGACAACATTTGTCAGTTGAAAGATCTTGGAACTTTGAATTTTTCTGGTTGCTCCAAACTTGACAAATTGTCGCAAGACTTGGGTGTTTTGGACTGTTTATATGAGCTTCATGCAGATTGGACTACAATTAGACAACTCCCATCCTCCATTGGACGTCTGAAGAATCTTGGAATACTAACGCTACAAGGGTGTAAAGGACTATCATCTAATTTATGGAGTTCTTTCTTCTTGACTTCCATTTTACGAAGAGAGAGAGATATGGCTTCTAAAGTAGCAGCTTTGTCAAGGTTGAATTTTTTACGGAAACTAGATCTCAGTTACTGTAATTTAAAATCTATACCCACAACCATTTGTCACATCTACTCGTTGGAATGGTTAGATCTAAGTGGAAACAATATGGAAAGTTTACCTCCAAGCATGAATCAACTTTCAAGGCTGTGGGGTTTGTTTTTGGATGGTTGCAAGAAGCTTCAAGAATTGCCAGAGATTTCATCGGGAATAGATCTCCTAGTTGCTGAAAATTGCTCATCATTAAGAACAATATGCAGTCCATCCAAATACAATAATTTTGTCGTACTGTCCTTCGCCAATTGCTTCAAATTGATTGAGAATAAGCAAGACAGCATCCTGACAGAAAAATTTATTTCAAATCAATTTCAGGTTCTCTTTCTCTCTCTGGCACTGTGAAGCGGCAACTTTACTCTTTAGCTAATTGAACACCTTGAATTATTTTTATTTTTTTTTAATACTAATACATATGTTCAACAAGTCCACTCATTGCAATTTTGAACACCCAGCAATGAGTTTTTTGAATTTGAAAAAATAAAAATCACGCAGCACTAGCATAGTCCACTGTTTTCGTTTTTCTTTGTATATATGTATATATATATATGATAAATTACAATAATAGTCCCTAAAATTTTATATCCTCTTCATTTAACTCCCTAAAGTTTTAATTGTTATGAAATATAAACCTCAGGGGGTAAATTGTTATGAAAATACAAACCTCAGGGGGCGGGATGTAATTTCCGAAACCTCAGGGGTATCTGTAATTTAGCCAAACTTCGAGGGGTGTATATGTAATTTGCCCTTTTTGAAATTTGAAAAAATAAAAATCACGCAGCACTAGCATAGTCCACTGTTTTCGTTTTTCTTTGTATATATGTATATATATGATAAATTACAATAATAGTCCCTAAAATTTTATATCCTCTTCATTTAACTCCCTAAAGTTTTAATTTTGTCAATTAAGTTTCTAAAGTATTTAATTCGAATCAATTTAGTCCCGAAGATAATATAAAAATAGAACAAAAGCCTAAGGTGGTGTTTGGTCTTTCATTATTTTCTTCTTGTTTTGTCATTATTCATAATTCGTGTAGACTATAACTACTTAGATCTTTTTTTTTTTCTTTTTTTTTTGGTGATATTAATTCAAAAGATTCCTTTTGAGAGTTCATTTGTAAAAATAAAGATAATTATATGTATTATTTTCTATAAGAGCTAACTGCTGAAATCAATAATAATTTTTAAAAAATAATTACAAATCAGTGATAAATTTATTAAATATTAATAGTTAAAAATATAAACTTTTTCATATATCTATAATTGTTTTTTTATAAGTGGACTGAATTATAATTTCCCAATAATTAATACTTTAAGTTATAATTCGGAATAGAAAACAAGAAGACAGGAAGAAGAAAATTTTGGTTACCCAACTTCAGTTGTTGGGGAGTTTCTAATTACACCAATATCTCTTTACACTCAGACGAACATGCCTTTCTTTATAGAATACAATTGTTAGAGCATCTGTATCAAACTTTTCAAAATCATTTTTTAGCTAAAAATTAAAAAAAAAATCAATTCCATCAAACTCGCTTACAGCTCGTCAAAATTTAAGATCGCTACAGTAACTCATTACAATAAGCGAGGCACTGTTCATCACTATTTGTATGTTACCGGACGTCCGGCCAGTTAACCGGTCAGCGGCAATTTTTTTTTTTTACTTTTTTTAAGAATTGTTTGGTTTGTAACTTATCAATTTAATAAAAAAAAGAAAGATTAACAAACACAATAAGAAAATAATATTTAATAAGAATAAGTTAGAATAAAGAGTTTGATGCAGTAGTTGCTAAAAGATGACTAGTTAAAATAATAAAATAGTTTTAATTTGACTAAAAATTTGAAGAGTTTGGTGTAGATGCTCTTACAATGCAGTAAAGAAGTGTAATGAAAAATATAATGAGTGCAAATATATGCTCCCTTTGTTTTGGGTACTATTTTTATTTAATAGAATTAATTGAAAAATAAAATTTCTAAATGTTTTATCATACAATAATAAAATTATCTAAATTATTAATTGAAATATATTTTTAATGTCATTAAAAATTATTAATTGACTTTATAATTTTTTTATAAAATAGGCCATTTATTATGAAATTAAAAATTTTAATTAGTGGAATATAATTTCCCCACAGGGGTGCTTTGTATTTTAATCAAAACTAAAGAGGTGTATTTCTAATTTAACCAAAAAAAAAATGAGATTAAATTTCTCTCATGTTCACTCTCAACATGAGAGAATTTGAGCCGATCAAAAAAAAAAAAAATGAGAGAATTAGAGGAGCTTGTGAGGTTCACCACGGGTCATATTTTGATGATCCAAACTATTTATGAAAAACATTATGTCAATCTGATAATTGTAATATTTTTATTTTATCGTGTTTGTTTTAAAAAATAAATGGTCTAGTTTCAAATATATATTTATCGTTCATTTTTTTAAAAACAAATACGATAAAATAAAAATATTACGATTATCATATCAAATTAAAACAAATTTTTATGAATAATATAAATTAAAAATTTTACAAAATAAATAATTTAAATTATTGATACTGAGGCTAGACCTCTCAAATTCTCTCGAGTGAAAGCAAACCAAAGTTTAAATTAACAAATTAACGAAAAGTCAATGATAGATATAGATTTGATGGGTGGGGCTCTTCGTACCGGGTAGGTTTGGGGCAAGCTTCCCAAATCGGTGGGAATTTGTTTGTTTGTTTGTTTGGGGTTATAAGGAGGGAATTAGGTTTGATAGTGAGGTAGGACTATTATATGAGGTGTTTATTTTGAGAGATGGGGAGGGGACTCATAATCTCTTGATATTAGTAAAGGCCTTGGAAAGGGAATTGGGAAAGAGAAGGTAGAGATGGTATTAGAAAAATAGTGAGGGGATTAGAAATTTTTTTATTTTTTATATATTGGAAATTTTTTTTTAAAATATTAATGCTTAATTTTTTATATTTTTTAATTTGTTTTATTATTTTATATAAAAATAATTTAACAATTCCTACACTAACAACTATCATCAAAACAAACACAATTTTATTTAATCCCCTCACTAACAATCCATTCACTATTAATCCTCTCACTATGAATCCACTCCATTTTATCTCTGAAAACAAACAGGGCCCAAGGCGTGTGTATTTTAATGAGCCACTTCTCTCACCTGGTCAGCAATTGCACAGTGTGCAGTTTGTGGATCTCTATCAAAAAAATAAAAATAAAAATAATAGATATAGATAAGTGTATTTTTTTTTTTGTTTTGTAAATTATACTTTGCCCCTTTTATGTTTGGTTATTTTTTTACTTTGATTTTTAATGTTTATTTTTTTTTCCACTTTGATCCTTTATGTTTCAAATTTTTTTCACTTTATTCCCAAAGTTAATTTATGTTAAAAATTAGACAAAAAATGGCACACAAATAGCCCCATGACATAAAAATATTTGATTATATATAACTTACACTTTTGACTTGAATTTAATGACTAATACAATAATATATTTTTTATGTTATGTGACAGTTATTGTGGTGTTTTCTATTTAATTTTTAATAGAAATTAGTTTTAAGAGTAAAGTAGAAAAAATTTATAGCATAAATGGTCAAAATGAGAAAAAAATAAATTTTAAAGTTAAAATGAAAAAGTGACCAAACATTAAAGGGTAAATTGTCATTTATCCTTTTTATTTTATTTTTTATTTTATAATATTTATCTATTTTATTATATAAAGAGAGATCTTAAAAATATAAAATTATATTATGAGGTGACTAAGGTTTAAGGAATATGCTTACCATTTGAACAATATGTTTATATGATTTTTTATCATTATTCTTATAAAATTACTTAATATAAATTATAGGGTAAATTACATATACTCCTTTGAGATTTAGCTAAATTACAGATACTCCCTAAGATTTGAGAAATTACAAATTCTTCCCTGAAGATTATATTTACATAACAAATTAGAGGCAATTGGTTATAAAAATATAAACTTCAAAGTATATGTAATTTAGTTAAATCTCGAGGGACATATGTAATTTGTCCTAAATTATAATTTAAGATTTTGAATGCGTACCTAACTTTGGGTTGGTAAGGAATGAATTAAAAAAAGTAAATTTATTAGTTTGCTTATGTGACATTACTTTTTTACATTTTTGTATATTTTTTTTACAACACTGATTGAGAGACCAATCTCTATTGTACAGAGTGGAATGAATTGTTTTGACATTCGTTTTCCTGGGAGAGAGATTCCAAAGTGGTTCAGCCATCAAAGTAGGGGGCCTTCGATATCTTTTCAGTTGCCTCCGCATTGGTTTAACAACAGGTTCTTGGGAGTTGCTTTTGCCGCTGTCGGATTCAAAAATGGTGAATTCGACGATTTTGGTATTGAAATGCGCTGGAAGTGCCACGTTACTCAGAGGATCATCACACCATTTAAGACAGTGTTGGGACGTCTGAATTTTGGAAATATTCTGGTTGAGGGTATCTCACGCGGTGAATTATTGCCATTCACGGAAGATTGTATGGAGGAATTAAACGAGGGTGGAATTGAAGCTGAAGTTTCTGCATGCTACCGCTTTTCCAAAGAAGTGGCCGAAAAGATCGGTGTCCACGTCATATACAAGGAAGCTGAAGAACAAGCACTCACTAGTATATACAACTCTCAAGATAGCAACAACATCAACATGGATGTGTTTCATGGAGATTTGGACAGATCAGCAGGAGTACAAGTTGGTAGTAGTAGTAGTTGTGCTACTACATCAAAGAGAAGACGCGATGATGACCTCAACGACAATCACTACGATGCAGCAGCAGCAGGAGCCAGTGGAAGTCCTGGAATTGATGATCAAGAGGACCACCTCAACAGCAAAAGGCTTAGGTAAGTGTATATCTCTTACAACTCAGTTACAGTTTCCTCCAAATAAAAATGTCTTCCAACTCAAGCTCCCACTGCAAATTATGAAATGAAATTATAATAGACATAACCCATTTCGAAAGATTCAAAATTGTTCCAATTTCAAACGTACTGTCTAATTCCTTAACCCAAACACAATAGTAATAAGAATACTACTAAGAATCATGAAAAAAATATCATGAAATGCTTCATGAAGATTTTCCATCCCTTGATTAGTGTGTGGTGTTTTTTTGTATGTGTAATCTAATGATGAAGAATCTTTCATGATCATTTTCATGATATTTTTTTCATGATACATAGCATTACTTTAGTAATAATATTTACTTATGCTTTTGTGTCACATTTTTTCTTAAGTTTTTAGTTTTGTCTCTTTGGTTTGGTCCCTAAACATATATGCGGAAGATGAAGCATGGTCTTATCAGCAAGGATCCCCTCTCCCCAAAAATCCCTGTCCCCATGTTCCAAATCACTCATAACCATTGAATCATTTGAGAATTTATATCCAATGGTTGTGAGTGATTTGGAATATGGGGACAGGCGATCCTTGGGTTGGTCTTATAGTGTTTGGGGGTGAAATTAATAAAATTGAAATTTTGGGACCAAAATGACACGTAATGCACCCTTTAGGGAGAAATGTGTATTTTATAATTATTCGGTTAAAGGTTTAGAGGACAATTTAAAATTGGACCGATTTGACTTAGATTGAAAATTTTATAGATAAAATTGGCAAAATTGAAACGTGAAGGACTAAAGTAACATGGTAATATACTTTATTGAGAATTCCCCCAACAATTTTTCGGCAATGCTAAACTTTAGGGTACGTTTGGATGACATTACTAGGGATAAAAATCACGGGTCAATGTTATTCGAGTGCTTTGTTTGACTAGGAATTCTCTACAAGAAGATTATGAAATTTTAATTATTATGGGCCCATTTATTTATTTTACTCTTGAAATTGTTTACATTATGAGTAATGGGAGGAACACACAAACCAAACACAGAATGGAACACAACCCTTTCCCCACCCCTTGTGAAAGGATCGTGTCCCATTCTGTGTTTGGTTTCTGTGCACATAGACTTATTGCTTTACCTAATTGTGCATTGCTTATATATACATATATATAACATATCAAATATATATATATATATACATATATATATATCTATACTATTATATATGTGAGCACATGACTTAGTGTCTAATAGTGTGGTAGCTTCTCTTTCTGCCACGTGGCAAATTTTTCTATCCTAAAATAAAAAAATGTTATTCAAAGGCATGAGTAAGATTTGAACCCAAGACCTTGGGTTTCATTAAGAACACTCTTACCATTTAGACAATATACATATTATTGCATTAATTTCTTTATTATTTGTTTTTATGCTTATTTATCTGAATTGCACATGCATCGCATGTGCCACACCACTAGTATATATATATGTATTCCTCTTGCTTTGTAGTGCTTTTATGGTTTTTTTTCTTCTTCTTTTCCCTTCCTTTTTAGGTTGGTTTGGGATTTTATCTTTTTTTTCTTTTTTTGTTTTTCTTGTTCTTTTGTTTCTTGGAGTTCTTTGAGGAGGCTTACTAAATTGAAATTAATTGTCTTATGTGACACCACAATGATGGCATGCAGGCACATTTTTTAACTACTTTTTGAGACTTGCAACTCGATTTTTTTTTTTTTTTTGAGACTTACAATATATAAAGAATTACATCCGGACAATTATAGTCCACCAATTTTAGAACTTCGACAACTAGCAGGACAAATAGTCCGATAATGGTGAAGTAACACCAACCCAATAATCAATCGAACTAAGAAAGGGTCCTATAAAGAGGAAGAAATGAATTCTATAATATAGAGTCCCCATAATGAAGATGAAATTATCAATCCTTGAACTCCTTTTGAGACTTGCAAATCAAACTTGATAGTACTATTATGCAAGAACGTTTAGAAGGCTTACTACTATTATCAACTATGAAGCATGGACACGGCAAAATTAGCGCCGTGGCGGTGTCGGACACAGGGACACGCCGGGGACACGTACGGGACACTCCATCTGCGGTGTCCCTTTAATTTAATTGTTTTTCTTGTAGGGGACACACTTTTCCAGATCGAGACACGCGTGTCCAGATCTGGACATGGCGTGAGACACAACAAGGAGGGAGAGACAAAGGAGAGAGAGTGTGAAGGAAGAGAGTGAAGAGACAAACCTGTCACGTGATATCATGTTCGATCAGAGCGCCATCCGGTCGATCCAGTCGAAAGCTCCATCCAGTCGAAGATTGAAGACTTCCAGTCGAAGCTCCATCCAATCGATCCAGTCGAAGATCGAAGCTCCATCAGTCGATCGAACAATCAAACACCCTAGACGATCGCGATTTGTCTCTCTCTCTCTCTTTCTCGCGATCGCAATCGCGACCCTTCTCCCTCTCTCTCTCTCTCTCTCGCCTTCTCTCTCTCCCTCGTTCTGTCGTTTTATCTGAGTTAGGGTTTAACTATTATATAATAACTATTGTTAAGCGATGCGCAGAGAAGAAGATGAAGAAAGATAACTGATAAATAGATGGAATAATATGCACACAAAATAATTAAAAAAAAACAGCTTAATAACTTACAATTGTTTACTGGAAGTAACTGCAGAGAGTTGCTTCAAAATACATAACTTGTAATTCAGAAAATAGGTTTTGAATAGCAAAGATAGGTGTTGGTTCTCACTTAGAGTTCCCAATTTCCTAACTCCTGATACAAATGACTAAAACATTACAATTTATAGAAAGATTAATCCAACTATGCAGCATGTGACTTAATGTTGATCATGAGAGCAGTTGGCAGCACATGGGACTGAGCAGGCTGTCGGATGCTTTCGGCTGATTGACTAAAAGTTGATGTAGCTTTTGACTATTGTTGATTGATGAACAGTGAAAGTGAATAGTAACTTTTACTATTCATTACTTTTGGTGGAGACATGTAACTAAAGGAATGAATATAAATACAAATCAGCAGCTTTTCTCAAAAGAGTATTGATTGGAGCTAATTTGTATTTATATGGAATCCAATGTAGGGCTGACTAGGCATATGGATCCTCTGCATCTTGAAACTCGGGTCCATATGGGTTTTGGGTAGTTGAACCTTCAGAAGAATTTGAACTGTCTAAACTCTCTTCTGAACTGGACTATTGGGCCGGTTCAGGAGGCTCATCATCAGAAGGTTCATCTTTTAATTGGGCCTGGGCCTGATCCATCAGGAGACAGGCCATTTTGAGCAGATCATCACTGGTTGAACCGAGTTTAACCTTGGGCTTTGACTGAGCTGACTTGGATTTATCCTTGGGCTGAACTGGCACTGCAGGAACTTTGGACTTAGCCTTGGACTTGGGTTTATCAATTTTGAGCTTTGTTGACTTGGGCTTGGAAGAACTTGAAGATGGGCTTCCAAGGTTGACTGTAGGAAGTTGGCTTCCTTAAGTGACTGAAGCAGTTGGGATCTGCTGAGCATTAACTATGGCAGGTGTAGGAACATGAAAGTTAATTGGAAATTCAGTTTGAACAATTTCAACAATGCATTGAACCTTGAAGTTATCCCACCATGTAACCATATGTTGACGGTAAATAACATCATCAGAAATACCATATTGCCATTTGAATATCCATGGAATTTTGTATTTGGATATAAAAATAAGCAGTTTAGGAAATTTCTTTTGTTGTGGAGTGAATGGGAAAACAGTTGAGAAATAGTTAATCTGTTCAATCAGAATATCAGGGAAGATATCTGAAATGGCGCTGTACTGAGACCACCATCGCAAAAACCAAGTGGGTAATTCTGATTTGAACTTTTGATCAAACTGGAGAAACTAGGAGTGACTATATGTTTCAGTTTGATATAAGAAAACTTTGAACCAGGCTTCAATATAGTCATAATAACTATATACTAAAGAGAGTGATTAGGTAAATCTCGAAGTTAATAAGGAGAACCCCATTCAACTAAGGAAACAATATTGTGAATATAAAGTGAATGGTAGACAACTTTACTAGTGTAAGTACGATCATAAATGAGTTTAATCACAATGGATTGATGGTTAAACAAGATGTCTTTATAGAAAGTAATTGTTTTTGCAGGATAGAGAGGCACAAAATGCCATCCAAGAGGAAAATATGATTTAACCAAGTCATGAATAGATTGACTCTTTGGGTGACTTGGTTCTTTGAAAAAGAGATTAGTAGTGGTAGATGTAACATAATCAGAATGGGCTTAAGAGGATATGGAGTAATTGCTTGGCTGGATGAAGCAAAAGGAACAGTAGCCAAAGCAGATGTGTAACTAGGTTTAGGAATGTTACCAAGAATCTGGTAACGGTTAACCATTTCAATAGGATGATATTGGGTGACTAACTCCAAAGGAGGAGGAACAAAAGGTTGACTAGATGGAACCAGGGCTTTGGAAGGAGGCCTGGGGAGAAACATCTGTTTAATAGAAAAAAAGATTAGCAACATAGATTAACAATCACTAAGGAGATCTAAATAAGCTTGATGATAATCCAAACAGTTGTAAAAATCAGCAAGTAAATGGCGACGAGCTTGAATTTGGTGATAGTTAATATATTGAGCATGTGCAGTAGTTTTTCAGGCTAATTTTAGTCAGGCAAATCGATAAGCAGTTTGGTGAATAAGAGCACGATAATAGGTAATTTGGGTTTTATTGTAAGCAAGAAATGGAGTGGTCATCCCTATCCTCCCTGTAAAAATTCGCAGGGTAAGAAAATCAGGAATGGAATTTTGACAACGATGTATATATTCAATATCAAAATAAAAAATACTTAATATAGATTGCCATCGGGCAAAAATTTGCTTACCAGCAAGATTTTGAACATCTTTTTCTAGAACATATTTAGCGGATTTGCAATCAACACGAAGTAAAAACTTTTGCTTTAATATGTCATCTTGAAATTTACTAATACATAAAACAGTAGATAAAATTTCTTTTTTAATAGTACTATAATTTAATTGTGCTTTATTCCAGACACCAGAATGATAGCGAACAATTTGTTCAGATGACTGAGGAGTGACTTTCTGAAGAAGAATGCCACCATAACCAATATCAGAAGCATCAGTTTGAATAATCTTGAATGAATGTTCAGTAGGAATACCAAGACAAAGGAGAGACTTGACATATTGTTTGACTTTTTTAACAATAGCAGTATGAGCAGAAGACCAAGGAGGAGAATTATCCTTTAACCGATCAAACAAGGGTTGACAAGTTTTCCTAAGGTCTTTATAGAATTCAACAATATAATTTAGTGAACCTAAGAACCGTTGTAATTGGGTTTTATCTAAGATTTCATCAAGAAATTTAGACGCAAACTCAATGGAACGACTAATAGGAAAAATAGTATTTTGGAGGATATCATAACCTAAAAATATGACTTTAGTCTGAAACAATTTAATATTAGGAGCAGAAATGACTAGACCATGACTTTGAATAGTGTAAAAGAATGCAGTTAAATGTTTCCAATGTTCACTAATGGATTTAGAAAAGATTAGTATATCATCAATATAGACTATAGAAAAGTGACTAAAGGGATTAAAAATATTATTCATTATATTTTGAAATTCACTAGGAGCATTTTTTAATCCAAATGGCATGACATTCCATTCATAATAACCAAAAGGTGTAGTAAAAGCAATTTTATACCTATCTTTAGGGTGAATTTGTATTTGCCAAAAATCACTTTTTAAATCAAATTTACTAAAAATAACAGTTTGACTAAGTCTTTTAATCAAATCTATTTTATTAGGAATTGGATATCTGATCCATTCTAAAACTTTATTTAATGGTTTATAATTGATGACTAAGCGAGGGACACTTCTTTCTAATTCAGCATTTTTATTAACATAAAAAGCAGGACAAGACCATGGTGATTTACTAGGACTAATAATCCGATTCTTTAATAATTCATTAATTTCTTTTTTACACATTTCAAGTAATTCATGATTCATTTGAATAGGTCTAGATTTAGTAGGAATTTGTCTTTCATTAAAATTCTTAATGTATGGTAAGGTGACTACATGTTTTTTCCTATGCCAAAATGCAGTAGGTAAAGTAGAACATATATTTGTTTCTAATTTTAACTTAAATTCATTAATTTGGGAAATAAGTACTGGATCAGTTAATTGTTGATCAATTCTTTTATAATTGACTTCTTCTTTGAGAAAACATAATTTACGAGTTAATCGATTAATAGTTTGAGAAATAGAACAGTCTTTTAATTGATTTAATTCTAAAACTTCTGGTGGAGATAAGAATTTAAAAGTAACTGTTTGACCAAAAGCCTGAGTTGTTATTCCTTCACTAGATGTAGTAAATGGATATAATAAAAATATAAATGGTGTTCCTAAAATAACTTTATCAGTCATATTTTTGACTAAAACAAATGAGGTTTTAAAACAAACATTATTTTGACATATATGAGCTTTGGGTAATTTATATTTAATATGCATTTTACTACCATTAGCAGAAGTTAATTTTTCACGACATTTTTCATAATATTTAGTAGGGAGTAATCCTTCTTAGATACAGTTAAGATCAGCACCAGTATCAATTAAAGCAATAATATTTAATTCAAAATCATCAATAACCAGTTTAACTTTTGAATACCATTTTTGAATATGAATTTTATTCATTAGATTTAATCTTTTATCTTCATGATTAAGAGATTGATGGGATCGATTATCAAATAAAAGATTATCAGGGTTAGTATGTTCAGATTCATTTTCAGATGTATTAGGAGATTTATCATTGTTTTCGTGAAAATTATCTAAACTTTTATTAAGTTTTAAGGTAATAATTTCATCTTCTAATGCTCTATCTTTACTCTGTAAATCTTTAATAGTTTGTTTAATCTGATTGATCTCATGTTGTAAATCTTGAAGAGTAACTTTTTTTTGTTTATTTTTAAATCTTTCTAAGGTTTTGGATAGACTAATAATTGGTTTATCAAACTTAGGTTTTCTATGAGCATTGGTTAATAAAGATTTTAATTTATCAGTATATTTTTGTTTTAACTCTGGATCTTCTAATCGACTAATTAATTCAATAAGAGCAGTTTCTTCTTGATTTTGTTTAGTAAGAATAGTGATTTGTTTAACTAGTTAACAACAAACATCATTGCATCCTAATTCAATATTATTATCAGAATCATCACTAGGTGAATGGTAATCAGATGACGTACTAGGATTATTAGAAGAGGAATTACTAACAGATTGGTTTAATTGGAAAATTTCGAATAATTGATTCTTAGATTCTTCATTAATTTGTAATTGATTTACCTTATCTTTTAGTTTTTGTTTTTCTTTACATTTATTAGAATAATGGCCTTTTTGACCACAATTATAACATATAATATCTTTATTAGATTTGGATTTTGGATGTGATTTCTTACAATATTTCTTTTTGGGTTTAGTATAAAATTTATCAGTTGATTTAGAAGGTGAATAATTCTTTTTATATTTATTAGAATATTTGTAAGATGACTTATGTTTAGTGTATTTATGTTTTTTACGGCGAGAAGGGGCAACATGAGGTAAACCATATTGTTCACAGAAATTACCTAATTCGTATTTAACCTTATGTTTATCTTTAGCAGCTTTTTGGCTAAGTTTAAGATCAATACACATTCATAATCCTTCTTTTTGAATAGTACTAATGATATCACCATAAGTTAAATTATCATATTCAATAACACCTGTTGGTTGACTAAGAACATCTCTAATTTTATAAGCAAAAAGACTAGGTAATCCATTAATGAATTTTTCTTTCCAAAAAGATTTAGTATAGTCTTCTCTTAACATAACTCTAGATGTGAATACATCTTTATACCATCTAAAATCACTTAATGTTGGGCAAGTAAGGTTACTAAGTTGATCATGTATGCGAGAATAAATATTAGTAGGAGTTCCTATGAAATGTCTGACTATGGTATAGATTAAAGTGTTAATACCATCAGGTTTATGATAGTCAATAGTTTCATCAAATATAGGTAAATGATTTTCATCTTTTTGAGTAGCATGGAAAATAGATTCTGGTTGATCTTCGGTAAGGTATTTTTCCCACCGAGATATGAGCATACCGGTGAAACCGGAAGTGATTAAGGAAACAATTTCAGGTTGACTATAATTAGGGTAGTTACTAAGATAACTATTTACAACCATAGATAAATGATTTAATTTTTGAAGTATTTGATCTTCACTAAGACCATCAATATTACATTCGTATAATTTTTTAGCAGATACAGAAAATTGATTATTAAGATTAGTTTCTTCATATTGGAGGTCGGGAGGAGTAGGTCTAGAATACCATTTTTTAGTAAGAGAAGTAGGATTAGGTTTAGGATAATGAATTTTATTAAGATTAGAGGATTGAAATTGTTGAGCTAATTGATTAATTTCATTATCAGTGGGATCAAGTTAAGATTGAGTAGAAACAGTATCTTTATTAGGTTGTTGGTTTAAAACAGTAAGACTTTTTTCACTAGAAAGTGAACCTTATTCAGAAGTGGTTAACTTAGTAAGTAAGTGTTTGATAGCTTTAACAGTAGACTTATCTTGGGTAACTAAACTATTTCTTCTGGAACGATTACTAAGTAAGTTAAGCAAAGGTTGTTCTAAAGATTGTTAAGTAGATGTATGATTGGGTGAATAATCATCTAAATTAGTTTCTATCTTATCTAATTGTTTACCAATTGTTTTTAAACATTGATTAGTGTAATTATTTTGTTCAATAACTTTTTTAATTTCAGGGTCAGTACCGGGCAACTTAAAAGGAGAGGCTGGGACATCAGATCCTGGGTGTTCAATAATAATATTAGATAGAGGAGGATGACTAGAGCTAACAGTTGTATTAGGAGAAGTTTTCCATTTATGTTTTGTGATTGTATTGACTTTATTGTAATAATTGTCTAAGTATTCAAAGAAAGGAATTTCCATACTATATTCAATCAGAAAATCATACCGTTTACGAGTAATTTTAGATTGTTGAGCAGAATCATATTTGGCTCTATAAGCATGTCTTTTAGTTCTATTTTCTTTAGCTTTAAATTCAATATGTAATTTATCAAGATCAAGAGTAAAAGATTTACTAATTGTCATTAATTGAGGATTTATTGGAGGTATTACTTCGAAATCAGTTTGAGTTGGGGAATATTGAGATTCAGTATCATCTTCAGGTAAATGTGTATGAGTAGAATAAACAGGTTTACTAATTTGAGAAGTTGTGGTGTTATCAATACCTTTGAGTTTACTATGGGAAGATTGACCAAGATTGATTTGACTATTTTTTCGGAACAACTGAGTATTAAAGATTTCATCTTCTGTTTCAGTATCAGTAGGTATACTAGAAGTACTATGTCTAGAGGATTGACTACGATTAAATTTAATACGAACTGAACCATCAGTAAATTGTTGAATATTTTGGATATCCTGACTAGTTGATTGTTGTTGATTATGTTTGTAGCTTTCATTGACAGTAATCCATTGATTAGGGAGAGTAATATCTTTCCATTCAATCATTTGAGGAATATTAATATTAGTATCACTGCTACTACTTTGACTTAGGACTTTTATGTAAGGCTTGAACATTTAAGTTAGTTTTAATACACTTATAATGAACACGATAAATTAAAGCAATATTATGAACTTTATCCTTCATATTTGTAAATGAACCATTTAGTTGAATATTCAAAGTTAATGCATCTAATATGTGTGGATCTCTAAGACTAAGAGTAAAATCATGAAAACAATAAAAATGCACGGATCCTTTGTGAAGACTAGTTTCCATCATACCCATTAAACTATCATTATAATCAATAAATCGAGCATCTCTTAAACATAATAAAACTAAAGTAATTTTACCTTGAGGGGTTAATGGTTTAATTCCAACTTGAATTAATCCTAAATGAATAAAATTGTGACCAGTTTGTAAATGTCTTTTAATAGTGTTAGCATCAAATAATTGACAGGTTTCTCGGGGTTTTGATAAAGCATAAACTTGTTTGAAAATTTTAAGATGCAGATTAACTTTAAAAGTAGATTATAAAAAAGTAGTTTTATAAATTTCTTTAACTGACAATTTTGGAATATTCCAACTTAAATCAATTTTATCATTTTGTATTTCTACATATTCTTCATTAATTACTAATCCTTGATTAAGTGAGGGACAATAAAATAAAGTAAAATAAAAAAATTAATTGGAACACATTATTTAAAAAATATGATAAACAAATAAAATAATTAATGTGTATTAAAATAAAAATATTTAGAAAAAAATTAAAAAATTTGCCGTGTCCCCTGCCGTGTCTCCATTTTTTAGAAATTGCCGTGTTCAGTGTCCATGTCCTGTGTCCGTGTCCGTATGCGTGTCCGTGTCCGTGTCCGTGTCCGTGCCTCATAGATTATCTACATTTCCAACCAACCCACATTGTCAGTAACAGCCTTTTGAGTTTTTAAACAAGCTTTTCAATTTTTCTATTCTAGTGATCATCTTTCAAAAGTTTTTTTTTGAACTAGTCAATTAAATTTGAAGGGTTTTTTTTTCTTCAAAACTTACCATGTTGATTGATGATTCCATTTATAATACATTTTCCAACCCCTTTATTTTTTTTTTGATTGAATCAAACATGAGTGGATGTTATGATGGAATGACCATTCCATTCCATATTCATTTCAATGAACCAAACATTATCTAAATTATTTATAATAGGTAGCCTTTCCTGCATCATATGTAATCTATGCCCATCATGATTCCATAATTCAAGTCATTAATTTACTGAGATATGCAAAACTCACCCCTTTATTTCTCTTTTATTTTATGTTTCAGGTTGAATTCTGATTAAGATTCATGGATATTTGCAAAAGGAAGACTTTGTCTCATTATCTCATACAATTAAAGACTTTTTTTTTTTGAACGGATCATACAATTGAAGACTACACAAATAGATTTGAAGGCATGTAAACTTTATTGGGATGTGTTTTTTGAGTAATGATGCTCCTTTTCAAGAAACTTTCTTGTGGGGGGACACAGAGTCAAAAACGAATGTTCATATGTTCGTTAAAAAGAAATGTTCATATGTTCAATTGGAAGGAGGTGTCTACAAGCAAGGAACAAGGTGGGCTTTAGTTAGAAGACTTAGAGATGTAAATGATTGTTTGCTGGTGAAGTGGTGGAGGAGATTTGGATCTGAAGACAGTGCTTTATGGAAAAGTTTGATTTGTAGCATTCAGAGTGTTGAGAGAAGTAGACGGTTCCCATCTTATGGAGCTAATTCTTCTTTTGCAAGGATTTGGAGTGGTATTATTTCAATTGCTTTTTCCAATCCTAATTTACTCTACTTTTTTTTTTCTTGCCAATACTGATGTAGTAGGTGATGGGGACAGAATTCGCTTCTGGATTGATAAATGGCTTGGCAATGTTAGCCTTAAAGATGAGTTTTCTAGACTTTTTAGCCTTTCAACAGATAAGGAGTGATCCTTGAGGATGTTTATCCAGAGGAAAGACAGCTCAGGCAACTGGAATCTATGCTTTAGAAGATCTCACTTTGGTTGGGAGCGTAAGGAGGTGGTCAGACTTTATGGTTTGCTGTGTGCAGCTCCATCGCTTAGAGTTGGTTTTGCTAATCACATTAGATGGGCTGCCTCATCCTCAGGTCAGTTCATGGTGCATTCAGTCTTTATGTGGTGTGAGTCTGCCCTTGGTCTGAATATCTTTTGTCCTGGGATGTTATTGCATAATGTCACTCCTCATAAAGCTCAATTTTTTTGCTTGATTAGCATGCAAAGGAAGAATTAAGACTTCAGAGTTTTTGCAACGAATTGGTGTGCTGAATTTGGATGCTATCACTGCCTGTGTGTTTTGTAATTCTGATGCTGAAACTCTGAATCACATTCTGCTTTTTTGCCCTTTTGTTTGGAAAGTTTGGTCTGAAACTAAGAAGCACGGACACTTCTAAGAAAGTGGCGTATCCGTGTCGTATCCGTGTCGGACACCGACACTCTTTGGACACTCTTAGGATACATTTTTTACTTTTTTTGTAGTCTTATTTTAAATTTTTTTTTTAAAGACCTGTACACTCTTTGGACACTTGGAGGACACACGTGTCTATTAATTAGACCTTGTCTCTTATGAAGATGTACTAGATAAATATAATTAGGTTTTAAGAAGATGTACTAGATAAATATAATTAAACTGCTTGCTTACCTTAAAGTAAGAGTAGCTTTGAGTTGCATCTTTTGATATTAGGGACTGGAGGGACTAGTTTTTCTTGCTTGATATTCTTCTATTGATTTAAATTCGTCAGAACACAGTAAAAAGGCCAAACAATCTTTCAAAACCTCTCTTCTAATATATATCAGGTACTTTTTTTTTTTTTTTTTAAATTGAAAACAAAAATCTTTACCTCACAATAGAAGTATGCCCAAGTACTGTGCATGATTGCTTTGTTTCATTTGTCTGGTTCATTAAAAATAAAAACTAAAATACATATAAATTGATGGTTTTCATTAATGACAATCAGGTTGCACTGATGCTTTTAGGACTGGGATCTTCTTAGGTGGATGTTGTTAGACTGGTAAGACCGCAATTCTTTATTGGACACTGTAAATTGGCCCTTCGGATGAACTGAATGATGGCCTTCTTACTTAAATATTTTCAGTATTAGTAAATATTCAGTTTAAGTGCATTTTCGGATGTACTTGGGATTAGTTTAAGTGCAATAAAATTAGTAAATAAGAAAATATATGAATTATATAGAACTAGTATGCGATTCTGTGGCATGTTCTTGCATGAATGAGTTATATTCAGTTGGTTCTTGTTCGACCCTTTGTTTGGTTGTTGAGAGAAAACTTTGTTAAAGAAAAGTCAACAAAAGTTTACTGACTTTTAATATATAACGCTTTCTGGAAAGATGAAATATGAACTGAGTGAATCAATTTCAAGAACTGTTCTCTACTTGGGGACTGTTTTGGCTGTTTCATTTTTTTTTTTGTTTTCATATGTCAACGTAGTCTGTTAATAAATAGATGTGGGTAAAACCATTGTGTACTTCCTAATTTATTTAATTTTAAGATTTAAACCAAGAAAATGATAATTTAAATGTGAGGAAAAAAATGCAGAGTGAAAATGGTAGCAGTTTCAAGTGAAAGTATTTATTTTTTAGGATGGAATAATAATTTTCCTTAAATGGGTAACATGATAATTTAAATGTGAGGAAAAAAAAATTATTTTTGCTTTTCATATTTTTTTTTCTTATTTATTAATCATTTTATTGGTGTAAACCTTAAAATTAGGTCAATTAGAAAACAAATGGTAATATATATATTTTCATATTTAATAATGGATTGGACTACATTGACTTAATTATGAAAGTTGGATGGCCTAATAATAGAAAAAATAATTGTTTGAGGTTTACGCTAAAATGTTCCAAGGTTGCATTGAAAATTAAAACAAAGACAGCTTAAATAGAAGTGCAGGTAATGGACATAATTCAGATGATATATGTGTTTTGCATCAGGCACAAGCAAGGGAGCTTACTGCAGCTGGTTTCTCACATTCAGTGATTCTAATAGATGGTGCATGGAAAACAATGCTTGAATGCTGGAGGTCACAAACTATATCAACAGGCTTTAGCTGTGCAGCCTCTCCCTACTCCGTTGGCAGCTGAGGCAATGGCATATTGGGAAGCCTTAAGGTGGGCAAAGGATGCAGGGATTGAAACAACTCGTCACGTATTGGTCACCATGCTTCAGCACAAAAAGGAAGTCCAAGATTGGAAAATTATGTATCTAGTTAGTGATATTATTAATTATAGTAAACAATTTAAATATGTTATTATTTGTAAGGTCGGAAGGAATGTAATTCAATAAGCACATAAGCTGGCAACTGATGTTATTAAGTTTGGTATCTAATATAATGTGATGATTAGTACTAAAAAAAAAAAACAAACAAAAAAAAAGAGTAAACATTGGAGGGTCATATTGAAAATTAAAACAGAGTTGGACGGTTTAAATAATAATAAGAATAAAGCTTAAGACCCCCAGTGGGCGTACTGGGGGTCACTC